GCACCCCAATATTCAGTACTTTGCCAATCTAATGGATTATAACCACCAATTAACTTTGCATTTTCTTCCAATTTTGAAATCATAATGGTTGAACCTTTGTCATCACATAACTCATGAAATTTTTCCGTTTCAAATCCATCTCTACTGGCACGATAAAGAAGCTTCAATGAATAAGGGATACTTTTAGAATTATAAAATGATTTGTCCTTTCTATCAATCCAGCTTACGATGATCTTTAAATGCTCTTTTCCAATAAGGAGAGAGTCAAAAGATAAATTACGTCTTTGAGGTAAAACCAAGGTATCAGGTGGTGTATTTGGATCCATAAAATAACCAATGATGCTTTTATAAAGTTTCCTTGGGAATATCGGTTCATATGGATCGACCTTACTCAAAAAAATTTTTGAAGGAATCTGAAACCATCTAAAATGTGGAATTAAATCATGAAGAATTTGTTCCAATTCTTCAAAATGATTTGAAGTCCAGTGAGATAGATCAATTTCCAATGGGATTGACATTTTTGAAACGCCCCATTTGAGAATGTAATCCCAGATATCCGATTCTTTCATTTCAAGTTCATTTATTTTTAAAAGAAAAATAATAACGTCTTCTTCTAGTGATGAAAATTTTGGAGATTCGAAGAAAGCTTTAGGATTATCGCAAATTTCTTCTAACAAGTAGTTTCTTAAATCTTCAAAAGTTTCATGACGAAATACAACTTTAAGAATTTCAATGGGTTCATTTCTCAAGTATTCAGATTTATTACTTATCAAATAAAGTTGAAGATGGTCATTTAATTTTTGTATATTCATTTCGTCAGCTGCAATTAACAGTTTCAATATTTGTGCGACATCTAGATTATCCAAATGAACGATTCCAGTATACAAAAACTTTAAAATCAATTCAAAGATTTCCGGAGAGATATTTGGCTTTTTAAAATTAATCACACCACTCTCTTTTTTTGCCCATTCCTTTGAAAATGCGGCCTTAAAGTATGTTGACCTTGCTCCTAGAATCAATGAATGCGTGAAGAATTCTTTCATATTTTGACTTTCTCCAGCTTGAATGATTACATCATAATTGTATCCGCTAGAGAAAAGTTTTCCGATATCGTTGCATAAATCTAATGAAAAATGTTCC